CCACCAAAAGGGACAATCCCAGGCTGCTCAAAGCCCCAGCTAGAGGGAAAATCTGGCTTTTGATCAGGAGCGAAGTAGGTCACGGTTCTCGGGAGCGCAGCTCGGGATGCGGCGGCATTCCGGAGACAAAAGGGATCACCCCGCCCCCGGAACCTCTGCCCTGGAATTGCAGCTGGATTTCCCTGGGATGGTGTGGGGCAGCCCTGGCTGCTCTGTCTCCATGGGATGTTCCCTCACCATCCCAAGCCGTGTGTTTGGCATCTGTCCCTAAAACATCTGCCCAAGCTTTCCTCATTAAATATCCTGATTTTTTCCAGAGGAAGAGCCTTTCCAAGGGCAGGTGGCCCCAAAGAAGACAGCTGGGAAAAATCCTACAGCACCAGGAGGGATTTCACTCTGCTCCTCCCCTTCCACCCAGATCCTGCCTCCACCCCACCTCATCCCACCCCTTTGAAGGCATCACATCCCACCGGGTGATAAACGACTTTTCCAAGGTTTTCCTCCCCAAAAAACCCCTGGGACTCACTCTCGATGGAGTTGTTGTTCAGGTAGAGGTGCTCCAGCTTGGGGCTGATGAAGGGCACATTGGTGAGCTTGTTGTGGGCCAGGTGCAGCACCAGCAGGTTGGTGAGGTTGAAGGAATTTTTGGGCAGCCCCTTATCCGAGATCTGGTTGTAGTTGAGCCGGATGAAAGCCAGGTTGGGAAACTCCTTGAAATAATCGCTGGGGATGTCCTCGATGTTGTTCCTGTCCAGGAAGAGCTGGTGGATGGCGCTGGGCACGCCGGGGGGCATCTTCCTCAGGATGTTGTGGGCCAGGTTGAGCTGCATGAGGTTCTTGAGCCCCTTGAAGGTGTTCTTGTTGAAGACGCCGTCGCTCAGCTTGTTGTGGTGCAGGTCCAGCAGCACCAGGTTCTCCAGCTTGTTGAAGACCCCAGGAGGGATCTTGGAGATCTGATTCCTGCTGAGCCTCAGCTGCTCCAGGTTGGGCGGCAGGAAGGAGGGCACCTCCTTCAGCTGGTTCCTCTCCATGTAGAGGAAGATGAGGTTCTCCAGCTTCTCCAGCACCTTCCTGTCCACCTTGCGGATGCGGTTGTTGTCCAGGTTGACCCACTTGAGGCCGGTGGCGTTGCGGAAGGACTCCTCGGGCAGGTCGGCGATGAAGTTGTTCTGCAGGTACAGGTAGTGGATGCGCGCGGGGATGACGGGCACCGTGCGCAGGTTGNGCTGTGGCCCCATGGGTGTGGATGCAGGATTTTAGGATGGGGCTGTTATCACATGATTGTGAATTCAGGATTTTAGGATGGGGCTGTTATCACATGGATGTGAATTCAGGATTTTGGGATGGGGCTGTGGCCCCAAGGGTGTGGATGCAGGATTTTAGGATGGGGCTGTTATCACATGATTGTGAATTCAGGATTTTGGGATGGGGCTGTGATCCCATGGATCGGTTCTAGGATGGGGATTTGAAGCCGGGCAGGGTCTGCTCCTGCCCAGGGGGTGTGGGAAGGTGTTCCCCCCACACACGGGCAGGAAACCCTCCCTGCTCCATCCCTGCACATGCACAGCTCCAGGCGGGATTTAGATCCTCCTCCTCTGGAGAAATGTGGAGCCAAAGCTCTCCAGAAGGGTGACAGGAGTGTCCCCATCCCCTGCGATGGCCTGATTGTCCATCCTCCCTCCTCTCCACACATCCCACCATCCCCAGCTCCAATTCATCCCATCCCAGCTCCAAAACCCACCGGGAATGTTTCATGGTGCTGGACACGCCCCGAGCCCCGCGGCTCCATCCGGACAGACCCCAAACCCTGCGGGGCACCAAGGGAGAGACGGAACCGGGGACAAGGACGGGGGGACAAGGACAGCCAGCTGTGACACGGCAGAGCGCGGTCCCCAAGGAGCCACCGCTGTCCCCGCAGGGCAGGAAAAGGGGAAAACGAGGAGAGGGATGGAGGCGAGGAATGAGCAGGGGGAGAGAGGGTCCCACGTGTCTGAAATGTCCGAGCAAAGCCTGGGAGAGGCGGGCAGGGCTAAAACACCACGGACTGCAGCAGGCGGAAACACAGCATCAGGTCCAGAGGGATGGGCGGCTTCAGCAGGTTCCCGTCCAGCCGCAGGTAGCGCAGCCGGGGCACGCTGTCCAGGTCGGAGGGAGAGAAATCCTGGATGGACACCAGCGAGGTGGGGCAGATCTGCGTGCCGTTGATTTCTGCGGGGACAGGGGACACACAGGGGTGAGGGACAGGGAAAAGGGAATGTGGGCAGGAGGAACAGTGGGATGAGGGTTAGGGAAAAGGGAATGTGGAGAGGAGGAACAGTGGGATGAGGGTTAGGGAAAAGGGAATGTGGAGAGGAGGAACAGAGGGATGTGGGTTAGGGAAAAGGGAATGTGGAGAAGTGGAAGAGTGGGATACAGGTTTGGGAAAAGGGAATGTGGGCAGGAGGAACAGTGGGATGTGGGTTAGGGAAAAGGGAATGTGGAGAGGAGGAACAGTGGGTTAGGGAAAGGGGAATGTGGAGAAGAGGAAAAATGGGATGCACGTTAGGGAAAAGGGAGTGTGGACAGGAGGAACAGAGGGATGTGAGTTAGGGAAAAGGGAATGTGGAGAAGTGGAAGAGTGGGATACAGGTTCGGGAAAAGGGAATGTGGAGAGGAGGAGCAGTGGGATGTGGGTTAGGGAAAAGGGAATGTGGAGAAGTGGAAGAGTGGGATACAGGTTCGGGAAAAGGGAATGTGGGCAGGAGGAACAGTGGGATGAGGGTTAGGGAAAAGGGAATGNATTTTACAGGGAATTTGGGATGGGGCTGCGGCCCCATGGATGTGGTCCCTAATCCCAGATTTTAGAGGGATTCAGGACCACATCCATGGGATGTGGGATTCGGGGCACTGGGGTCAGGCTGTGACCCCATGGATGTGGATGCAGGATGCTGGGATGGGGCTGTGACCCCATGGATGTGGTTTTTAATCCCAGATTTCACCGGGAAAGGTGCAGGATTTTGGGATGGGGCTGTGACTCCATAGATGTATCCCTGAATCCTCAGATTTTACAGGGAAGGATGCAGGATTCTGGGATGGGGCTGTGACCCCATGGATGTGGAATTAGGATTTTGGGATGGGGCTGTGTCCCCATGGATGTGGAATTAGGATTTTGGGATGGGGCTGTGACCCCATGGATGTGGAATTAGGATTTTGGGATGGGGCTGTGAGCCCATAGATGTATCCCTGAATCCTCAGATTTTAAAGGGAAAGATTTGGGGTTTGGAATCCAGGGATTCTCTGGGAATTCCATCCCAGCCAAAAAATTCCTTCCCAAATTCAGCATCACCCCAGCCAAAACCCCCAAAAACCCCAAAAACATTGGGAGACTCATCCCCAAGCAAGGAAATTTTGGATGCAGCAGCACCTGAGGAAGGCGAGGATGGATCAGGGAGAGGCTCAGGGTCCCTTGTGAACGATTTTATTTCCACTACTGCAGGGAGTGGGAGTGAAAACCCCATAAAGTCGCCGGGTTGGGAGGTGCGGGCGCCGTTGGGAATATCTGTACATTCTACCAGTCTATATACACATCAGATATAAATATACATAAATCCAGGGGGGCTCCGTCCGGGTTTAGGGCTCAAACCTGTTCCACTCAACTGCAGGGAGAGCTGAAAAGCAGATTTTACCCTCCTTAATTAGCAGGAGGTTTTAATGAATGGGAAAAGGGGAGCACCCCTGTGCCAGCTGCAGGGAGGAGGACACGGTGCCCGTCCGTGGCCATCCTGGGAAGGGTCAGTTCTGCAGGCTGAGCACAAAAGGAGCTTTCTTTGGTTTATTTAATGCTCATTGCAGTTGGATTTTGATTTTCTTTTTTTTTTTTTTTTCCTCTCTCTAATGCTCGGCCTTTAAATCCAAATCCTGAGACTCAGGAAGAAAAGAAGAGAATAATCCCCCCTAAACCCGGAGACCCAATAAATGCAGGTACAGCTATAGGGGGGGAAGAGATACATGTGGGGACGGGGAAGAGCAGGGACAAAAATAGCCCTTCCAAAGGATGATTCTTCCCTTTTCTTCTCCCTTCCTTTTATTTCTAATAAAAA